TGAGGTGTGTGTGTGTGTTGTGTGCTGTGTGTGTTGTGTGATGTTGTGTTGTGTGTGTCGTGTGTGTGTGTGTGTGTGAGTGTGTGTGTCTGTGTGGTGTGTGTTTGTGTGTGTGTTGTGTTGTGTTGTGTGGTTGTTGTGTGGTGTGTGTGTGTGTGTGTTTGTGTGTGTGTGTGTGTGTTGTGTGTGTGTGTGTGTGTGTGTGGTGTGTGTTGTGTGTGTGTGTGTGTGTGTGTTGTGTGTTGTGTGGTGTGTGAGGTGTGTTTGTGTGTGTGTGGTGGGTGATGTGGTGTGGTTGTGTGTTATGTGTGTTTCTGGGCAGGGGCATTCACTTCATCCATAAGAATTGGCAGCTGTGTGGAATGGTGTGTCAAGGAGGTTGCTGTGTTTAGAACTAGCGCTTAGGAAAGAGGGAGGGATCTCCGGTGCGCTGAATAAGAAAGTTTGGTCCCCGAGACTTCCTCCCCCTTCCTCGGCTCAGTCCCCCTTGGCGAATGCCGAACTTCTAGGGACTTGCGCGCAGGAGGTATGGAACTTGTAGAAAAAAGGGAATGGAAACATTCTACCTGAATTTTTCGATTCTGCGCGCGCGCAAAAAGTTAGGAACTCACAGAAAAAGGGGCACAGTTGAAGTAAACTTCATTTGGAGGAGGTTGCGCGCGCGCAAAAGGTGCGCAAATTGAGGGAAAAGGACGTAACTGCACTAGACTTAATTTTTAGAAGTTTGGGCATGCGCGCAAACGCAAATCGCGGGGAAAAAGCGCATAGGTGGGTTCAACTGAATCCTTTTTGATGTATAGTGTGCACGCAAACGCAAATCGCGGGGAAAAAAGGCCATGGGTGGGTTCAACTAAGCCTTTTTCGATGTTTAGAGTGCGCGCAATACGCGAAAGACGGACAAAACGGGGCATGGGTGCGCCGTGCATGCAGAATTCTATTGTGCATGCTTCTTACGTGTACTAGAACTAAGCAGAACACATGAAGGAAATGTTAGCGCGCGCGAGCATCTCCAAGAAGTTTTTGTTCCCGGGCATTCTCGCGTTTATTAGGACTAAGCCTTGAAGGAGGTGGGAAACTCACTTCCCCGAGCTTTCCTGCTGTCTCCGAGGCTTAGTCCTGGTTGCTTTTCTTTTCCCTCCCTCCCCCTGTCCCTTTCCTCTGTTCCTGTTCCTTTTCTTCATCTACCCCTATGTGTAAAGTTCGACGAAAAATAAACTTTTGGGATTTTAGGTTGTAAAAGTTGAATACTGCCAAATATCAAATTTCGAATTCTGTGCTACTGGCAAAGGAAAACACGAATTCAAAACGAAGCTAGCAGGAGATTGATGATAAAATGATGTGAAAAACGAATTCCGAACCAACCTAAACGGATTGAATCCTCCAAAAAAAACGAAACAGCGAATTTAAGTCCTCCAAAAAAACGAAACAGCGACGAGAGTCTGTTCTCGAGTTTCCAACTGCTGGAAGAAAAGAAGAATGCATTCAATGCCGCGTACTGACGTTCTCAACACATTGACGACCAATTCCAGCCGAATCCAGCCAGTTTTTTTTTTATTTGATTGGCATTTTCATATTTTAGAGCAGTGAGTGTGCATTATCTTATTAGAAAAAGTGTGCATCACCAGTAGTGAAATTATTGGAAGCAAGAGCTGTCGTCAATGTATTAAGTTGGAAAATACCGAGTGAGCAAAACAATTTCCAAAAGAAACATTTAGACTTTCAAAAACCGAAAGCAGCAATAGAGTGCAAAAAGATTATGCAAAGTAAATAATTGTGATTGAGATGCAATGTTTTGATAAATGTGGAAAAAGTGACCAGTTCCACCCGAATCCAGCCCGTTTTTTTTTTTGATTGGCATTTTCATATTTTAGAGCAGTGAGTCTGCATTATCTTATTAGAAAAAGTGTGCATCATCAGTAGTGAAATTATTGCAAGTAAGAGCTGTCGTCATTGTGTTAAGTTGGAAAATACCGAGTGAGCAAAACAATTTCCAAAAGAAACATTCATACTTTAAAAAATCGAAAGCAGCAAAACAATTTTATTAGGAACACTTGGACTTTTAAAAACGACACTTGTCCACTGAGCAGCAATGTCTACTCAGAAAGAGAAAACCAATAAGAAACTCACAAAGTCGTCTGTCGTGACAACAGAGCAACAGGGCTTCCGCAAATCTAGTAATTTCTTTCTGAAAATGATGAAAACAATAACAAGTAGTAACCCCAATAAGAAGTGACAACAAATTAAAAGTGTAATAATTAAGATTGGGCAAGCATGAACGTGTTTTAGGCTGGTGTCAGAGTCCGCGATCGGTCGCAGGTTTCGCTGATTCTAGCAAATTTAGCGATTTGCGCGATTTTCGCTGCAATTTTAGCTATTTGCGCGGTTTGGGCAAAACCTGCGATGGATCGCTAAAATTGCAAGTTCCATTTGAACATTTGAAACACTGGATATGAAAGAAACACAAGTGGAAGCGATGAGCGGTCGTCATTCAGTCATCCAGCTCCAGCAAGCAGAACTGGCGGCGAGAACAGCTTGCAGTATGCGGATCGGATACTTGTGATTTCTGTGACCTGTCGCGTGAATCGTGCAATCGTCGCTAAAATGGCCCAAATCGCTGAAATCGCGCAAATCCGTGAAACATGCAACGGACCACGGACTTTGACACCAGCCTTCACGGTTACGGGGCAGTGGTCAACCAACGCGTAAGAGTCCAGACAGAAAAGCACAAATTTTGTGTTTTCTGGGACTAAGCCTTTTGAAGGAGGGGAAAAAAGCAGAGATGCTGTAATAGTATGTATGTGCGAGAGAACAGTACAAAATGTTGAATCACTAAGTCTTTCGGTTGACCGCTGCCCTTGAACGAGCCTTAGTGACGTGTTGTGCCTACGGGTTCACAATGGGCGAGCACAACCAAAAAGAAGCCAAGAAAGACGAAAAAAAAACGAAAAAACGGAATCAAGGTAACCTTTTTTCCAGCGACGATCCTTCACAGACCTGATTTATTGTATGCCGGCGACCTGTGCCGAAACGAAAAACGGAATCAAAGTAACCTTTGTTTCCAGCGACGATCCTTCACAGACCTGATTTATTGTATGCCGGCGACCTGAGCCTGTCAGAAAAAAAAGAAACAATTTGCTATTATTTCATGAACTTTACACTTTCACTTATTGGGAAACTCAAATAACAGCACTTTGCACCATTCAACCTCAGCTTCCCAGTAAGGTTAGCTCAAATCCAATTAACTGGATTCATAACAAGCCCATATGCTTTACATCAAAACGTCGACAGGTCTAGACGCGGCCGTTCTTATCTGTGCTATGAGTGCAACGCTTGTCCTTCACTCACTATCTAGATAGTCTTTTTTCCAGTGAGTGAAGTGAGGGGTAACGAATCATCGTTCACAGCAGTTTAGGAGCTTGCGCGACACAATAAGTGAAGGAGCATCGTCGCAGACACAGAAATATTGCAAACATGCCCTCAAAACCACGCGAAACATTCCGTTTTCTTCAAAAGAGGGACTAAGCCCTGCGCAGGTGGAGGAGGAAACTTCAAGGCCGTAAGGTATGCTTCCCCAAATGGTTGCGGGGACGAAAATCCCTTTAAATTTTTGTTTTGCACGATAATCATACTAATATATAAACCAGAGTTTGTTTGTCTGCCCGCCCCCCAAAAAATTCGCAAGTGTCCCACACATGTTTACAATTCTTCCTTCAAAAATCACCTAGGGAGGGCGGTTCCACGTTATACCTAGACTCCCGAAGCCCAAACCACTCCCATCAGTAACACCCCATCTGCCATGTTTCAGATTCTCAAATACATGAAAGTAAGGCAACCCGAGAAGGCCTACAAACATGGGAACATGCCTGACAAAAAATTCGTAACTGTATCATCATGTGCACAAAGCAAAAAGAGAATGATCGAAAAAACTACTCATTCTGTGCATGAAATACCCTTCAGCTGGCTGAGCATTGCTCAGTCTGGCGGAGTGTAAATAGGTGTAAACTGGGTATCCCACTGCATTTATAATACTTTTCTGAGACCGCTCGAAAAGCCGAAAACGTAACGGGCTCGGTACTTGATTGTCATAAGTGTTGTTGTTGAAAACTTCTGAGCTATCAACCGATACGGATTATATACTATACATAGGTTTTCCTTAGGGGGTCGGAATCGGTCACCTCTCACACTATTCACTGAGTGAGGTCGCAGCAACTAAAATTCTATACGGCCATGTATGGTTGCATATGTATTGCGCAACTCGGGTAAGTATCATCCCCCACAAGTCATCCACTCACCGCAGCCGTCTCTCGCGCTCGGTATCGTGCGCAGCCCAACTGGGTTTCTTTATTTCCAATGCATGCTAACTTTAAGCTACGCACCTATATTAGATGTAGGCCCTTTATCAGGAGAATCCCAGTTGGGACTACAGAGAAAATTTAAAGTAACTTTCGTCCCTAACCCTTCGGAGAAGCGTACCTTACGGACCCAGGAGGTAGGGGGAGCCATTTTCACATTTCCTTGGAAATTTTGCCCCTTCTACACTTATTAGTTATTCTCAGGGGATGTGCTCTCATGCGTGCGACCGAGCACCGTGAATGATATTGTACATTCTCCTCCTCCTCGTACCTGAAGCTAGTCCCCCGACTTCAACAAAAAACCGATGTTTCACGCAGCTTTGAATGAACGCAGCTGCGATAGCGCGACTTCAACAACGAACTAATGTTCTGAGAGGTTTCGAACGAACGATGTTGCGATAGCGGCGCTTTCAGAGTGACTCGTTTTCACTATCGAGAACGGGGGGACTCGCACCCGACTCTACAAGAAAGTTGAAGGAAAATGAAACGAAAACGAAACATGAACACGCAATAAATAAGCGATATTAAAGGAAATTCCTTCCTCACATAGCATACAGGAACAAAGCAGTCGAAAAAAACCTTTATTGAAACAGAAACAAGGAACGAACAACAAACATCTTCATTCACATGATAGAACACCTTCTTCTATTAAAAACCTACTTCTTCTATTGACGGTGACCGAACGGGGTTCAGGATCGAGCCTAAAACTGCGAACAAATAATGAGTATGAAAACAGAAGAGGAGAAAATGTGAAACAAATCATCAAAGAAACAGGTGGACGAGATTCAGCGCTGAAAACAACAAAAAAAATCATACTCCTTACCTCTTTTGGTGTGCCTCCAAGTGTGGCGCATGCAGTGACCAAGGAAACCTGCAAACCTGAAATTAAGCAATGATCAGGCGATGAAGGAACTGCTGGCCAAAGCACAGAGGCTCACTCAGGACGGAGAAAGGGATGCATGACAACACCACCCAACTTGCAGGGGAGCAGAATTTGGGACTAAGCCCCTGGAGAAGGAGGGAAACCCCAGGTGCGTGAAACTTGACGCGCGCGCAGAAGACGTGGAACCTGAGGAAAAAGGGGCATGGAAGCATTCTACCAGAGTTTTTCGCTGCTGCGCGTGTGCAGGAGGTGCGGAACTTGAGGAAAAAGATGCCCAGCAAGACTGAACTTCATTTTCAGGACTTTGCGCGCGCGCAAAAAGGCCAACGCATGCAAAAGAGGGCCTAGATGGGCTGTCGCTTGGTCCTTCGGAATTTGTGCAGGTGCGCAAAGTGCGAAATGTGGGGCGAAAAGCGAAAAGAAATTCAGGGGCCACTAGAAAACGGTGTGAAGAAGTGCTGCAAGTGTATGGGGAATCATTCAGTGGGAACGCGTAAAACGAAAAAAGCGAAAATGGCAGCACACCTCACGTAATGAGAACTGACTACTCCAAGTTGCATAGAAGAAAGGAGCCTCTGCTGTAATACCTGCTGCAGCCTTAATCAATTCCAATTTTCGCAGTGCGAAGAAAGTGAAGTGGATGAGCCAACTCGTTTTTCCTACTGCAACTTGGAATAGTCAGTCATTGTGCGGAAGGGAAGCTATGGTTACTTTTTTCGGAACGCTAATAATCGAAGAAGTTCGGGTTAAGTAGGTTTGAATGGTTTGAGTGTGTTGCACCTAAACATCCACCCTTCTCAGTGTGCAGTCACAACTGCAAATGGCAATACAATCCTTCTAAAACGGCCAACGATACAACGAATAAGGAAGAATGCTGGAAAATGTCGAAAATTTCAATCTGGTGAAGGAACTGACCTCAAAGGAAACTTTCAAGATAACGTGTGTAACTATCAACAAAAGCGCTTATTAAAAACTTTCTGCAAATTTTGGGATAAACTTGGCAGTTTACGGACTACTTGAACTCTTTTGTGTGGCTGCTACGAGTGGTGAATAGGGACTGAGCCTTGTGGAGGGGAGGGTTTCCGAGGTGGACGAGTAACTACATATAGGCAAAAGTTTGAGCGTGTGGAATATTTAGGTGATAAGCCGCAGCTAAGGGTGCTACTGAATGGACTGATTGCAGTTTTTCCATAGTCATTACATTCATCGTAATTCTTCAACAAATCATGAGTTGTGTGAACATTCAACATTCACGCAACTCAACTCATGATTCGTTGAACAGTTAGGAAGAAGTATACTATGGGGATTTCATCCCCGAAATCCCGAGTCAGCTCGACCGCGACGCTAACGCGTCGACAGTCGAACTGAAAAGCCGACAGGGATGAGTCCCCTCGTCGAGAGTAGGGGAATCATCCCCTCCGTTGTCTCCCGAAAGTCGTATGCAACAAGCCCCGAGGGGATATAACTCCTCAGACCCGTGGGGCTTGTGCATACGGCCCATGGTGCTTCTTTTTACCAGGGGGTCTTGCGAAGTGGTACAGGGGGTGCCGAAAAGTCATAGAAGGGGCACATGAAGGGCATAGCTAATGTGTAGTTTTGCAGTTTCTTATACCTTGTTCAATCTTTCAGTTGTAACTATTTAGTGATAGTTGATTGGTGATAACGGGTCATTTCGATTTGTTTTTTTTTTGTTATTCTAGATTGACAGTTCTTCCTATTTTATTCAATGTCGTAATTTTTGTGTGGTTTTCCAATTTGATTGCTAATTTCTACGTGTCTAGAATACATGTTTGCACATTGGTTGTTGTGACCCTAGGCCGTCTCCTTTAATGAGGTCACTTCGCAGTTTATTCGCGGAGTATTCTTAATTAGGTGTGAATCGTACCATTTCTACTGATCCCATTCCCCTCGGCTCGACGAATTCCTGCTGCCGAGAAGTGCCGCGGCCGGCGACTGCCCCTCCTCCGAGCCATGATTGCGCTGTGGTCGAAAAATTCATCGGGTCACATATTGTAGAACGTAATGATGTGAAAAGTATCGGCTGTTTTTGTGCTGACGGATTGAGTAAGGCTGGAGTCAGAGTGATTGATTAGGCAGTGGTCAGGCGGCGGTGTGCTCGGGGGTTAGGGTCAGTCCGCCGCCGCTCGGCCGGCAGCGACGTAGCTGTTAATGGAACATTCTGAGCTTCTTGCGAACCATTCCAGCTTTCCCACCCATGTCAGTCACTGCCCTCACCCGCCCCCCCCCTGAATTGGCTACATTCCCCCTGGCTCACGAATTTCCTGCTGCCGAGAGTGCGCGGCGGCGACTGCCCCCGTGGTCAAAGTAGAATTTCACCGGATCACATGACGAACGATATCGATTGGAAGTATCGGTTTTTTGTGCAGAGGGATAGAGTAAGGTTGGACGTCAGAGTGTTGATTAGGGGCAGTGGTCAGGGCGCAGTGTGGCTCGGGGGAGGGTCAGTCGCCGCTCAGCTCAGCGAAGTAGTGTTAACTGGAACATTCTGGCTTCTTGCAAACCATTCCAGCTTCCCACCCATGTCAAGTCACTGCCCTCACCCGACCCCCCTCTGAATTGGCTACATTCCCCCTGGCTCACGAATTTCCTGCTGCCGAGAGTGCCGCGGCGGCGACTGCCCCTCCTCCGAGCCATATTGCGCCGTGGTGTAGAATTTCACCGGATCACATGACGAACGATATCGATTGGAAGTATCGGTTTTTTGTGCAGAGCGATCGAGTAAGGTTGGACGTCAGAGTATTGATCAGGGGCAGTGGTCAGGGCGCAGTGTGGCTCGAGGGAGGGTCAGTCGCCGCTCGGCTCAGCGAAGTAGTGTCAACTCGAATATTCTAACTTCTTGCGAACCGTTCCAGCCCATGTCAAGTCACTGCCCTCACCCCCGACTCCTCTTTGGCTACATTCCCCCTGCTCACGAATTTCCTGCTGCCGAGAGCGCGCGGCGGCGACTGCCCCCCCTCCGAGCCATATTGCGCGCTGGTCAGAATAAAAATTTCATCGGGTCACATGATGTAGAACGATATTGATTGAAAGTATCGGTTTCTTGTGCTGAGGGATCGAGTAAGGCTGGACGTCAGAGTGTTGATTAGGGGCAGCGGTCAGGGCGCAGTGTGGCTCGAGGGAGGGTCAGTCGCCGCTCGGCTCAGCGAAGTAGTGTCAACTCGAACATTCCAGCTTCTTGCGAACCATTCCAGCTTCCCACCCATGTCTGGTGACTGCCCTCACCCCCGCCCCCCCCCTGAATTGGCTACATTCCCCCTGGCTCACGAATTTCCTGCTGCCGAGAGTGCGCGGCGGCGACTGCCCCCGTGGTCAAAGTAGAATTTCACCGGATCACATGACGAACGATATCGATTGGAAGTATCGGTTTTTTGTGCAGAGGGATCGAGTAAGGTTGGACGTCAGAGTATTGATTAGGGGCAGTGGTCAGGGCGCAGTGTGGCTCGGGGGAGGGTCAGTGCCGCTCGGCTCAGCGAAGTAGTGTTAACTGGAACATTCCGGCTTCTTGCAAACCATTCCAGCTTCCCACCCATGTCAAGTCACTGCCCTCACCCCCGACTCCTCTGAACTGGCTACCATGTCAAGTGACTTCCCTCACACCCGACCCCTGAACTGGCTGCATACCCCTGGCTCACGAATTGCCTGCTGCCGAGAGTGCCGCGCGGGCACTGCCCTCCTCCGAGCCATATTGCGCCAGTGGTCAGAATAAAAATTTCATCGCGGTCACATGATGTAGAAACGATAATCGATTGGAAGTAATCGGATTTTTTGTCAGAAGGGATTCGAGTAAGATCGGACGTCGCAGTATTATGGGGCAGTGTCAGAGGCGCCTATGTGGCGGGGGGGGGTTCCAGTCGCCGCTGCGCATAGCGAGTAGTGTCAACTCGAACCATTCAGCTCTCTTTCGCCGACACCATTCCAACTTCACCCATGTCTATGACTGCCCTCTGCCCGATTCTCTGAATTGGCTACATGTCAAGTGCCTGCACCTCACACCGACCCCCGAACTGGCTGCATAATCCCTGGCTCGACGAATGTATTGCTGCCGAGAGCGGGGCCTGAAATCGCTGTCGAGTACGTGGGTCGCAAAAGTACGAACCCCCCCCCCCGAATATCGAGATCCTGCCACGACCCCCTTAAACAGAGCAATTAATTCAATGTAATTAATCAAAAAAAAAAAACCTGGCCAAATGGAATATTATTATGGACGCTCATCTATACACCGTCTTTCAGCACCGCAGTTTTAGTGTTAGTTTACTGAATATCGATTGGAGGGAAAGAGGCATGTAACTTTGTGGACTCACAGTCAGTGTTGGTTCAGAAAAGCCCAGGTCAATCCTGAAGGCCGGGGTTGCGATTTCAATCTATAATTCCTGCTGTGAGTATATCGAAAAGGCGAGTGTATTCAATCAACCGATCGATTCAACGGCAGCTACGGCGCGATCGTCACTGGATCAGTTTTGCTGATATCCGAAAGAAATCGTCGAAATCGACACCCTCGTATGAAAAGGATTGCATTCCTCCATTTATCTCTCTCTG